TTTTTTGAAATCAGAAGTGAAAAAAAATCCAAAACAAAAAAATGACATTTCAACAACCCGATTGGTAAACATACTATCATCTTGAAAGATTCCAACCCAGGACCTTTGGCGTCCCAAGCATGTTCGTAACCTCCAGGCTAAGTTGGCCGGTAACGTTAAGAAATTTGAATACATTATGAAATAAGGTAGAGATTAGTCCTGATGACGTACAGAAATGACGTCCTGATGAGTCCTGTGGACTGTTGTTTACGGGAAAAAAGTACCCGGTTGCAAAACCTTAGCTTACCGCAAGGGTAATTAACCCTTTTTTTGAAATAAAACTAACAAAATTTTAGAAAATTGGATCGATATATAATTTTACTCCGCTGCAAAATCTAAGAAAGTTCGAAAATGGCGGTCTTTCACAAATTTTTACGCAATTTTCATTTTCGTAGTTGGAGAGCACAGCTTGACTTCAGGAAATCAATAAACCGAACTAATAAAAAAACAGAAGCTTACCGCGAAAAAAAAATTCCCAAAAAACGATTAAAAAAATCAACACGACCTACTTAAGTGTTTTCCAACGTTCATTCAAACTTAAAAATACGTTCATAAACATATGTTAGTGTAAATTTTGCCTAGTAATTGATGAGGCCGAAACATTCTGAACTACGCTATCATCAGAGTATACTGAAAATAAAACTTTATGTGCAAAAAAGTTGGTCGTATCCACTTATGCAGGGGAGGTTTTCAAAAAAACTTCAATTCATTGAAACCAAAACTCATTTTTGAGAGGGGGTAGTTATCGAGAAAACGAAAAAAATCAAAAATATGGGTGAAATACTCAGCCACACTTTTTCGAAGGCTGTAGACATAGGTTACAAGTAAAAAAAGACTCTAGGGGAGTACGCATGCACCAGAGCAGTATGCGGTCTTTCAATGGTACCCTTTTTTTTTGAAATCAGAAGTGAAAAAAAATCCAAAACAAAAAAATGACATTTCAACAACCCGATTGGTAAACATACTATCATCTTGAAAGATTCCAACCCAGGACCTTTGGCGTCCCAAGCATGTTCGTAACCTCCAGGCTAAGTTGGCCGGTAACGTTAAGAAATTTGAATACATTATGAAATAAGGTAGAGATTAGTCCTGATGACGTACAGAAATGACGTCCTGATGAGTCCTGTGGACTGTTGTTTACGGGAAAAAAGTACCCGGTTGCAAAACCTTAGCTTACCGCAAGGGTAATTAACCCTTTTTTTGAAATAAAACTAACAAAATTTTAGAAAATTGGATCGATATATAATTTTACTCCGCTGCAAAATCTAAGAAAGTTCGAAAATGGCGGTCTTTCACAAATTTTTACGCAATTTTCATTTTCGTAGTTGGAGAGCACAGCTTGACTTCAGGAAATCAATAAACCGAACTAATAAAAAAACAGAAGCTTACCGCGAAAAAAAAATTCCCAAAAAACGATTAAAAAAATCAACACGACCTACTTAAGTGTTTTCCAACGTTCATTCAAACTTAAAAATACGTTCGTAAACATATGTTAGTGTGAATTTTGCCTAGTAATTGATGAGGCCGAAACATTCTGAACTACGCTATCATCAGAGTATACTGAAAATAAAACTTTATGCGCAAAAAAGTTGGTCGTATCCACTTATGCAGGGGAGGTTTTCAAAAAAACTTCAATTCATTGAAACCAAAACTCATTTTTGAGAGGGGGTAGTTATCGAGAAAACGAAAAAAAAATCAAAAAAATGGGTCAAATACTGAGCCACACCTTTTCGAAGGCTGTAGACATAGGTTACAAGTAAAAAAGACTCTATGGGAGTACGCATGCACCAGAGCAGTATGCGGTCTTTCAATGGTACTCCTTTTTTTTGAAAATCAGAAGTGAAAAAAAATCCAAAACAAAAAAATGACATTTCAACAACCCGATTGGTAAACATACTATCATCTTGAAAGATTCCAACCCAGGACCTTTGGCGTCCCAAGCATGTTCGTAACTTCCAGGCTAAGTTGGCCGGTAACGTTAAGAAATTTGAATACATTATGAAATAAGGTAGAGATTAATCCTGATGACGTACAGAAATGACGTCCTGATGAGTCCTGTGGACTGTTGTTTACGGGAAAAAAGTACCTGGTTGCAAAACCTTAGCTTACCGCAAGGGTAATTAACCCTTTTTTTGAAATAAAACTAACAAAATTTTTGAAAATTGGATCGATATATATATATATATATATATATATATATATATATATATATATATATATATATATATATATATTTACTCCGCTGCAAAACCTATAAAGTAAAGTCGAAAGTTCGAAAATGGCGGTATTTCACAAACTTTTACGCAATTTTCATTTTCGTAGTTGGAGAGCACAGCTTGACTTCAGCAAATCAATAAACCGAACTAATAAAAAAACAGAAGCTCACCGCGAAAAAAAATTCCCAAAAAACGATTAAAAAAATCAACACGACCTACTTAAGTGTTTTCCAACGTTCATTCAAACTTAAAAATACGTTCGTAAACATATGTTAGTGTGAATTTTGCCTAGTAATTGATGAGGCTGAAACATTCTGAACTACGCTATCATCAGAGTATACTGAAAATAAAACTGATTAATAGTAACATAAGTATCCTATTGCTCCGCAAGTAGCAAAGGAAGTTTTGGCTACTTCTAAAAGCAAAACGAAAAAACTTAATTGCCAATATTGCCACATTGATGATGCGATTTTAATCTTAAATTCTGAGAAGCTGAAATATTCAGATTTTCTTTCAACGCCAATTCGACTGAAAGGACTACAAAAGCATATCACTGGACCTCTTACTATCCGTGTTTGTGATACCTGATTTTGCGTGGAAAATTTTTTTCGAAAACCTTGTTTCAACTGCGAAGTGTGAACAATTCTCATTTTTATCAGAGATGATTTTAACAACTAAATTAGATTTTGTTCTGAAAAGATTAAGAAGCCAGTACAAAATTCCAAAAACGTAAAACTAACTTTAAATTACAGATGCGAAACTGCACATCAAAATCGCAAACACAAGCAAACATAGCCAACAGACAGTCGGAAAAGTGTCCAAAAAGCAAAACAGGAAGAACAAATTGACTTATTTCGAAAGCCGAAAAGAAACTTATCACATTGAAGCTATCTGAAGAACAAGAACATTTTATGATCAACATATTTTTGATAAAACTAGCCTCAAAGGATAACTTTATTTCGCAGAGAAATCTAAAAATGAAAATCCACTTTCAAACCTAAAGTCATTCACATTTTTAAGAGCCAATTCCTCTTTCTTGAATGGACTGTAATTTGCCTTAGAGCAAAACAATTCGAGCTGTCTTGATATAGTCAATGAACGCAGGTAAACAAAAAAATACTGGCTCTATTTGAAAAACTTTCAAACTTCGAAGAAAAAATTAGATGACCTTAAAATTCTTTAAATTTCCGGATTCTTTTATCATTGAAGAATTTTTGATTAACTTATCTAATTTGAGAAAACTGGCTCAATAGTAAAATTTTCATTTCGCATCTGTTTTTTTTTCGCATATTCATCTGTTTTCTTTTTCGAAATTAGAAGTCATTCACGTTTTTCACGACTTTACACTTTTGATGTTCAATAGTGGAGTTTGCCTTCCTTCGAACAAATGACATGAACTGAACTTAAAAATAAATCGAAAGTCAAAACGCGAAAAAGTGAAATTGAGCGTGAACAAATTTTACACAGAGGCGAAGCTGCACTTCGCATACACAAGCTCAAAAATGACCAACAACGCTACTGGGGAAAAACTGAAAGTAGTAAAACTTCGAGTCTACAAAATTTTCTAAGTGACGCACGCCAATTATGAGTCTACAGAATTGCTAAGTGACGCAAGCCAATTATGACGCATTAGCAGTACCAGTCAATTTTAAAAAGAAATTTACCAACTAACATGCCTCAATTTATTGAGCGCACGCATTTTAGCTAGTATACGAAAAAGTTCATAAAAAACATGCTACCCTGCTGAGGTTCGAATTATTTTGCTGCTGGTCTCCTTCCCTACCTCTACGCTACAGAACCATAACACCTTGAAGCTAAAGTGCTATTTGTAATACAATAGTGTGTGTTAATATCCCAAGCATTTGCTGTACTTAATCTCTGGTTATTGATCTTATGCATATACTACAATAAAAGAGCACTTTCAAAAAGAGCACTTTCAAAAAGAGCACTAATATTTGCGAATTAGGTTGGAAAAAAAGTGAGTTCGTAATATCACTCAAGCTTTGCTTGTGTAATAAGACTTTTACTGATAAATACATAACGAAAAAAAAAAAAACAATCATATATCATGTATTACGTTCATCGACTCTTAGTAATCACGACCGATATTAATGTCTTCACTACGTTCTATGACACTAGAAAATGTGGCAAACTGCAGCTTTAAAATGGGAGAAATACAACATTAAGTAAATAAAATTTGCTAAATAAAAACCTTTACTTTTATGTTATTCTAACTCCGAAATCAGATTTAGAGTCGAATATCTTAACTGCACTGCACCATAACACACTATTCTATTCGAACAGAAGCCACTAAGAAAACGTATAAATCACATGCGAAAAAACTGCCAATGTAAATGCTATGCAGCAAAAAAAGTCAAATTGTTAAGCATTAACTTATGCGAGTTGGGTTGAAACAAAACAACTCGCGATTAACAGAATCGGCTCTCTTAAACCCAAGCGCAAGGCCAACCTGCGCCTTAATACGCTACTGCTCGTTTGAATGCTTGTGTAAAATAAGTAGATGGTATTGAAGCTAACGAGTTCATCGTTAACTTGTTTGTTTTTTTTTCGTTCAACTTTTTTCACTGCCAGTATTCAAATTGAATACATTTTTGAAGCTAACACTAAAATATTCATTAATTGAGTAATTTGACATACCCTCGATCCATAATTAGAACTTCGTTCCTTTGATCATATTCTTATAAAACAAAAGGTAACAAAAATAGTTAAATTAAATTGCACTATTTGGGGTTGCATTTTTAGTATTATTAATAAATAAACCAAATTAATTTTTACTTTATAAACAATTTTACAAAACCAAAATACTACTTTAAGTTGAAATGCGACAAAAAGCTATCCACGACAGAAGTATCGGAAAATTTGAGGAATAGATTAGAATGATTTTTACCATTTAGAGAACTACTGGACTGATCGTGATTCTTACAATGCAGTCCTTTCAAGACATTCGGAGGGGTGTTAAGAGTACAAACTGCTCCTACAGAAGGCGTTACTTTAACTAAACTGTTTGATTCTTTTGACACTTTCCAGTACTTGACAGATCCCAAGTGCAGGTGGTAAGAATGATTTTGAGTTTTGTTGTCATCTTTAGACGCAAGAAGCAGCGAATAAGGCCTCTTTTTGTGCGCAATTTCGATTAAGCCAGAGAAGAAATATAAAACACAGTCATCTTTCGGTTTGGAGCTAAATCCAAACTTAATGATAGCCGGTGACATCCTCAGATTTTGGCCCCTGGAAAAAAGAACACAAAGTGGAAGTTCGCCTATCGTACCCAGACACGCATGTGCCAGACATCTGGTTTCGGTTGCGTCATTCAAGTACTTGATTGTGGTTTTTATTTTGGCCTGGGAAGCGTGGACTTTGTCCATAACTTCTTCCCAATTTTGTGACCCACTTTTTTGTTTACAGAGATCATCGATGACCGAGAAAAAGTTAGCATAGCTCATAATATGTCTCGCTATGTTCTGATATACGCCTGCAAGTGAATATTTTCCTCGATGCGGTGTTAAGGTTTTCTGGGACTTTTCTGACATTTTTCTCAAAAAATACGCGAACTCGGGACAATTTGTAGTCAATAATTCTATTAATTCCGATGTAAAAACAACTTCACCGATCAAAGCTCCGAACAATTCTCTATGTTTCTCGTAATGATCGGCTATTAATGTGCAGTACTCAGCTGTCAATTCTGGAATTTGGTCAACGTAATTAAGAAATCCGGCGTCCAGAGATTCTAGAAAGTTCTCATGCACTTCTATGATATCGAGGCAGTTTCCAAATACCATGTCGATAACATGCGGGTGAAGTAAAAACTCTTGGAAAACTTTCAAACTTAACATTTCGGGCAGCTTGAAAGGGTGTGAGTCGTGCTTGGAAAAAAGTCGCAGTTGATCTAAGTGTAATTTAACAGTCTGAAGTGATCTGATCTGATGGTCTTCCTTGTGTCTGATCTCATCAAACTTGATCTGCAGATTCAAATGAAGCGGAATGAAGTCTGGAAACCCCGTCAGTTCCTCTAACTCTACATCTAAAGAAGAATAAGTGGTTGTTATGTGCAGTAGCTCTTCGTGTTCTGGCACTTTTTGGTCTAGAACCTGGCCAACATAGACAGCTAGAGAGTTGAGACATTTAACAATGAATCTAACATCTTCAATTGGCTGTAGAAGGAGTTCTATGAATTTGAGCACTTTGGCGTGGTTGAACACTATTGGGCATTCATGGCAACATGATATAAATGAGTAGGAACTAATATGTACAAGACGGAAATACTCGCGACACTTATCTAGAATGATTGCTTTCGTTATCACCACTCTTTCTGGGTCGAAATTGTCAATCAAATCTTTCGGGACACAAATTAAATGCTGGACTGTGAGTTCAACTATTTCATATAAGCCGCGATAGAGAGAACAGAATGTTTCCAGGGATAGATTGTGGTGATGTTCGGGGTTTACGATTCGAATCCCAACATCCGCGAGAGGAGTGTCGTCGTCGCTTAGAACTTGATTTATTTTCTTCCGCAGACACTTGATGAGTTCGCCAGCTCGAGACTCTGCTTCATCGAACATCAGTTCAATTTCACTGCGACTGGATTCCGAATCGAACAACTGACCTGCAACAAATATTTATATTTGAAAAAAAAACTACCTGATAATTTAATGGAAATCACAAACCAAAATGTTATCAACTCAAATTAGTGAAAACGCAAGATTGAGGTTGAACTCTTTTAGCTATCTTACTACAGTTTTAACTTTACAACACACCTTAACCTATTGAAATATCTCTTCACCCTCTCAATTTTTTTAGTGCCCTTTTGAACTCCTTCGCTTTTTTAAACTGCTGCAGCGCAAAAAAGATGAAAAAAAAATTACGCCCCAATTTAATGTTTTCACTGCTCCCTCCGATGATGAAAACTCTTAATAATGGAGTGAAAAGAAGCTTTTCGTAAAAAGCAGAACGGGAATATTTTGATTCGTGGGAACCTCATGTCTGAAAAACACGTAAGCCAATCAGGATTCAAAAATTGAACACAGAGACGAAGCCGAGCTTTACACCACTTATGATATAACAAGTATAGGATCAAAACCGCAAGACACTCAAGCATTATCGAACTGTCATCGTTGAAAAAATGAAGAGAAAAAAAACAAAAATCAGGTTTTTTAAAATTTTAATATAAAGAAAACTTTTGAAAATTCCAAGTGGCGTTGATTTGGAGCTTTCAGAAACTTAAATTTGGGGCCAAAAACTTTGAAGCTTTGTCAACTATCAGAAATTTGTAAGAAACAAAATATTAGGTAAATAAGCCGACATAATCAGAGTCGACAGCCAATTAGAGTCAGCAAAATCTGATTGGAAAAAATACATGTAATTCCGAAATAGTATCCACGAAAGCCATATATGTACTGAAATCACGGTGTTATACACAAGTCGAAAACTAAACCGAGAATTTAACCGAAAGTCGAAAAATCATTATATCGATGTTAAAGCGTAATATCGATGTTTTATCACTATAAAAACAATTAGATCTATTAAAATGAATGAAGATAGTTATACGAAAAAACATGCCCGGACAAAAGAAAGCCACATAAGCATCGGAAAAAAACTTACCAAACGGTAGCAAAACACAAAAAACCTCAGCAAAAACCCTTCTTGTCAAAACAAAATTCAAACAAACTCTTAAAAACATTCTAAATAAAAAATTTTGTGTCTGCCTTTCCTTCAGAAAAATTCAAAAAACATTTTTGGTCATCAAACGAGGCAATGAGAGGCGACTAAGTCAATTCAAAAAAGCCGAAACCAATTTTGCCAAAAAAAGACAAAAACAATCGAAAAAACGAAACTTTAACAAACCGATTTGGTAAAATTACAACCAATGTAAAAATTCCGATTCGGCCAGATTTTTAAAACGCTTAAACACTTAAGGCAATTACAGTAAAAACAGTTTACAGCAAAAAATAAACAATTCTCAGATCTGGCAACTAAACCGACATAAAGCAGACAAATAATAGGGCAAAAAAATTTTGGAGCGGAATATCAAAAAGTTTCGGCATATTATTTGTCTGCTTTTGTTATGTCGGTTTAGTTGCCGAATCTAATTGCTTCAAGTCTTTTATCATTTTAAAAATCAGACCGAATCGAAAATATTACATTGGTTGTAATTTTACCAACTCGATTTGTTAAAACTTAGTTTTTTTTGTACTTTTTTGGGCATAATCAGTTTCGGCTTTTTAAAACTGACTAAGCTACCTCTTCTTGCCTCGTTTGTTGACCAAAAACGTTTTGTTGTGTGAACTTTTCTGAGGGAAAGGCAGACTCAAAGTTCGAAAAAACAACAGGTCCAGGTCAGATTCGAACCCTGGAAAATTGCCACCCCATGCGTATTCATTACATCCAGGCTATGTGTGCCGGAGACAGTAAGAAACTTGAATTCATTATGAACCTAGGTACCACCAGGAGTCGATGATTCCTGTGAACAAAGTTGTTTACGAGAAAAAAAGTATAACACCTGATTGCAATACCCTTGCTTATCCCAAGGGTAAATAATAAAAAACATAGGCGAAGCAGAGCTTCGCAATGTTCGTGATAAGACACAAACATAGCATGGCAAAATGGCAGACATAAATTGAGACGAAAGCCACTAAATAAAAAAAATTAAAATATCTTCAGGTTTTTGAAAAGCTTGATCTACCTAAATTTTCATATCTTTGCCTCAACTAAAGTTCAGTTTTCGAAAAAACTTGACAAAAAAGACAATCGAAAAATAAATTTGCATCGAAATAAAACTTATGAAGCTGCAACAAAGGCGACATTTTTTAAGCAGACACACACCCGTTGTGCCAAAAAACTGTTTCCACAAAAAAAAATTGAAAATTTTTATTTGATATGAAATTACCAACTTAGACTCATACTCGTTACAAATTTGTTTCGCTCATCCAACGACGCAATATGATGCCATTAGAACTATTATTTATAAACTGATAAGCTTCTAAAAATAGTTTAAAAAAACGAAAAAGCTTAACTAATCCGTTAACCATGAAACGAGCATTAAAAATGAATTCACAAAATAGGTCTGTTGGTTGACGAAATTGAAGATTTAAATAAAAGATTTAGTTATTTTAATAGAAAAGTTGTTTGAAAGGAAGTCTACATTCCAAATTGATATCGCCTTCGAATCGCGAGAATTTACATTTCTCAGAGAAAATTTTTGGAACTAAGCCAACTCTACCAATTGGGCTTTAGAACTGGCATTCAGAAAAATAGAACAAAACGGAACCTTCAAAAACAGTCTGTTATACGGGAACTAATAAACAGACGACAATACTCAGACTAAGCAGAAAATTTCTAGTTTGAAAAACAACATGTCCCGGTCGGATTCAAACCAGAAGCCTTTCTTGTCTCAAGCAGACGTGCTACCTCTATGCCAGATGCGCTGTATAACATAATTGATTCATTTTGAAGTTATTATGAAGCAAGATGAAACACGTGTAACTTTCACTTTGTGATCTGTTCACGGGAAAAAGTCTTGTACCCGGTTGAAAGCTCCTTGCTTATAGCATGAAAAACCATAAAACCTATACAGAGGCGAAGCTGAGCTTCGCATCACTTGCGATACATAAAGCCACCGAATCTTGAAAAAGTGACAAAAAGCTAAAAGAAAAAACCAACACCCGAAACGTTCATATGTTTGTTTCAAACTGGAAATCATTACGATGATAACCTGTGGCAGAATACAACAGCCAGAATTGAATTAGCTTGAAAAGCTTCCAATTGCGCTACAATATAGTCAGTAAAACAAAAAGAGTAAATAATTCTGAAAAATTAAGTTGAGAAAATTATTTGAAAATATAACTTGAAAAAGTTGGAAAAACTTCAGTTACAAAAACTTCATAGTTGCATCGGATAACGTTCATAAACAGCCTTAATAACAACTGGAAAAATTTCACCGAAAGGCAACAAATTTTGGGTCGAAACCTGTTTAGCCGAAAACAAAACTGTTGTCATGAACTTTTATTACATTTTTGCGATCCATCCATACTGAAGCACATAATCCTATGCGAATATAATTTGCCTTGAAAACTACACAATATAAGCTGACTAGACCAAAATAAATCTGCTAAATGACTTAAGAAAAACGAAAAAAAAAACGCATAATCAGACTTGCATAATTTACAAACTGCTGATCTTTCAAATATAGTAAAAAACGGTTTAAATTGGAACAAAACCCATGCTTTAAACATGTGCCATAAAAACCCTAGAAGATTAAACATGTGCGTTTAAAAACAACGGAAAATGTATCGACAGAAACTTAGACGAATACCACGAACCCAACAAAAATTTGAGATTTTTTTTTGAAAAATTAATTACAACCTGAAACAGTATTTAACTATTTACTACTTAAATGATGGTAGTTTTGTGAATTTCTAGAATTTGAGCATGTCAAGTAATATTTTCCATTCCGGAAAAAAAGTTGTTTACGGGAAAAAAAGTCTAGCACCCGATTGGAATAACCCTGCTTATCGCAAGGGTAAAGAAACAAGCGTGGAAAAGTTTTGAATAGTTCAAAGAACTTTGTTTGGAAGCAAATTTTAGAGCATTATGTCTTCATGTATGAATATAACCCGTAGTAATTTTTAAAAATCTCTTCTAAAAATTCTCAACCTGTGGGACTAATTGAGAGTTGCATTCGGGAGTCCAGTCTGATCTTCTCAGAGCACTCGAAGCTAGATGCCAGGAGATTGTCGTCTGTATCCAGATACGAGTGCCTCCCAGGCCCATTACTCACTACACGCGACTGCGGTCGACTACTTTCCCCTGCTTTGGATCCCATTGCCATGTTATTTATTGCGATTACTAGAGACAATCAACCATCTATAGATGACTTCGTCGTCTCACTTCGATCAGTATTTGCACGTAGCTCACAGCCTCAAGGATCTCTGAGGTTTATTTACATAATCACCAATCTGAAATGATGCTGGTTCAACAAAACGGTAGGACTCCAGTACTTCGAGAAGTTGAGTCTTTTATTATATTTTAAACATCTATTGAGAGAATTAAATTCAATGAAAGAGCGTCGATACACAAGTTTTAATCTACTCAGCAACAAATAAAGCTTTCATCAAGGAGTATTAGAAAAATATTTTACGTTAAAAGTAAAATGGAAACTATATCTCCTTTGGCCAAGCGAAATAGGAAATAAGAACTGCACGTCAAAGAAAACTGACTCTAGTAAAAAAAAAAAAGATACATAATACAATGCATCGTAAAAGTTGGCCTGTAAAGGTCAAAAAAGGCACAAATTATTTTCAAAACTCTTGGGCTCACTTACGCTCAACTTTTTCAGTTAGCATTCGACTATTGACGTACTTGCTTTCATGAAAATTTTGAATACTTACAAACAAAACAAGAAGTGTTTCATAAACATTTGATTTGTATACTGCTGTTATAATGGAACGTATTCACCAGCTAATTGAACAAAAAAAAAACTAATTTAAAAACTTTGACCGGTCGACATCTTTTAATCGCAAGCAGGGGAGAATTTAAGGTTGACAAAATTGCCATATCTGAGTTGAAAATCTTCCGTTCGCTTCCATACCCGAAGGAAAAGAAACTCACCAGTCAAATATACAAAAAGGCCTATGTGTTGGAGAGGAACTTAACAACACATATGAACAAGAAACACCAAAATGAGAGTCTCAAATCAACAATCCGGCATCAAATATTCATTAAAGAACAAATTGCGGAAAAATAGGATTTTTTTAATTTTATTTTTTTTGAGACGCTTTTATACAAAATTCGCTTTCCCGAAAAACTACCCGTCCGATTTTCACAAATGTGGTACCAATGGATTAAATACCTTTTCACCTACCTGCCTGCATAAGCCCTAGGTGGTCGCGACTTTCGCACAAAAATCTGTGAGGGCGGGGTAGGGGCCCCGCCCGATCCGGACACATATAATTTTCATAAAAGGTATCGTATATGAGCGATCAAATAGATCACGTTCTCAAAAACCCTCCTGTAACTTTTTCTAACTTTTTGCACGCGGCTCTAGAATGTCAACTGAATAGGAGTTTCCTTTTGTGAATTTTTGACCCAACAATTTTTAACAGGTGTTTGAGCTAATTTGCGCATTTTGCCCAATTTGGGAAAAGCTTTTATTTTGCTTAATTCTCAAAAATAAGTAAAAATTTTGACATACGTATGAAAATAAAACTAAATTGATCTCAGCAGTCCTATCTAAGGAACTAGTCATCATGGTGGTGTAATTTTTCGAATCTGAGAAAATTGATTTTTTTTTTTACTTTTTTTACCCATTTTGACTACTTTTTCAAAAAAAACCTTTAGCAAAAAAAATTGAAAATATTTTGCTCTATTAATTTGTTTGAGCCTAAAGGACATTGCTCTGGCTTTCTTAGCAAAATGAAAATTTTCAGCTAAAAATTGGCACTTTTTCAAAACAAAATTTTTGATTTTTGAGTCAGAGTCTATTTTTTGTTTCCAACCTAATGTACCTTACGTGGGAGTACTGTTTGTACTGATTTTAGGCCCTCATTTTTGTTTTTAGCCAAGATATTGCTTTCGGAATTCTGTCAAAAAAATCGAAAAAACATGTTTTTTTTACCTTTCTCAAAGTTTTAAAATAAGTGATCCACTTGTTGTTAGCCGCCAGATAAAGTCTCCCAAAACTTCGAAGACTCTCTTAAACAGGCTGATGAGATTTTTAAAAATTTTTTCGAAAATTGAATTTTTTGATGTTTTTTTTTTTCACTTTTCAGCTGAAAAATTATTCTAAGTATCGCCATTTGACGAAGAAAGGTTAAAGTTCAAAATGTTGTTTTTTTTTCTGAAGTTTTTTTTTCTTCCAAGTGTGTTAATACGCTAAAAATGGCTCATTCAGACTATCTGTATAGCTTGTTTAGGTGCCAGTTTCTCAAGTTGGCTCAAAGGTGCCTTAAGTGGAGGCGACAAGGAAAAATAGCCAAAATTAAAACTTCCTAAAATCTACAATTTTCATTTTTTTTGATAATTTAAAATGATAGACCCACTAAATTTGGTACGCTGAATCGCAATTGGCAAATGATTTTCACTTTTTTTCGTTTTTGAAAATTACTGATTTTTGATTTTTTTCAAAAAAAAATTATTATTCTTAATTTTTCTCTATTTTAAAACATTTCGCAACAAATTGATGTTTTCTTTTGCCAAAGTATTCTTTAAACGGCTAGAACAGCATTCTTGATTACTTATGAACAGTGGGTGGTGCCAGGAAAATTTAAAATAATTTTATTGATTTCTCCCGATTTACAAAAAAAAAGAAAAACACTGTTTTTTTATTTTTTTTTTGAAAGCTTACAAATTTTCTCATCATTATCCTTTACTAGTTTTCACCAACCGCATCTGTAACCGCCTAACGTCAGTTGTTCTTGGAAACATTGTTAAAAAAATCATAATTTTTTGAAAAGTCTACTGCTTCTCTTGAGAAATTGAAAACAAGCAATAATGAAAAAAATTTTTGTGAAAACTTAAAAACAACTATCAGTTATCCTGGATCGAAGTAGGATCCTCACTCGGTCCCTCTGGGATCGGTAGAGGAAGCAGCCGTAACCGTTATTTCTACGCTTTAATCTGAAATCAGCCTGATCATAGTTCTGTCATTAGCGGAGGTCAAATAAATTTCTGATGTTGCGTTCTTTTTATGAACAATTTTTTTCTTTCCATTTTCTTCTTTTTCTATTTTACTTATGCCAAAATCAGTCTCACTGCATGACCGGTATTAGCAAAAACATGAATGTTTTACACTTTGAAATCTTTGCGTTTTTTGGTGGTAGTTTAAATTAAATTTCACGGATTTGATTAACCCAGACCAACTAGTGACGGGACTGTTCAAAATGCGAACAGTTTACCTCTACACCAATGTTGCCAAGAAGTCGTTTACAAAAACCTGGCAGCCAAGACGGGGCTCCAGCGCGAGTCGTCTGCCAGAGCCCGTCAAGTTCGACAGGTTTTACGCGTTCGAATACCTCAGTCCCCTCATGTGGTCTTAGTATTTGGGAAGTCCGAAATGCAGTCGTCGGATTTCCTCCGATACAGTAATCATTTCACGGCAGGGGACGAAGTGTGGCTGATTCTCCCAAAGTCTGATGGAAATGCCCAACAGAACCCTATTCTTTGCTTTGAAGAACCCGTTTTGCCAGTGGAAACCGATTGGCCCTTCGTAGAGGACGTTATGCCGCCCTCAAATGTGCTGCATGGTTCCTGCGTCTTTTTCGATTTTATTTCACAAAGAATCAGCGTGAATCAAGCCTCTCCACTTGATCGCACATTCAGTGGCGTGTTGTGTGACGGGCAATTCGGGACAGCAACTTGTGGACGTATGAAAGCTCCGCCGAAGCGCCATTGGACGCTTTCGGTTACGTTTTCTTGTCCCGAGATTGACGAGTTTGCCAATGATAAACTCAACATTATCTCAAATAGGCAAAATCGTCTCCTCATAGACACTAATGTGCGGCGCTGGCCTGCCACTGATGCTCGTATTGATCCGTTTGAAACATTCGCCGACGTAAAATAATTACTTGTCAATCCAAAATTTATATTGATTTAGCTCTGAACATTTTTCACTTTACCCATGCCATGGCAATTTGTTGATCAAGTAGAAACATTTCTTTTCTTTTCTAAAGGTTGTAAATGGTGTAAAATTGCTCAAATGTTTTTTTTTCCTGCTTTTTGTAGGTAGAACTTTTGATGGAAGCAGTCAATGTCGGACAGGGGTTTAGAGTAAAGGTCTGGTTCAAGCCCAGCATCAATGAAAACGAAACAACGGCGGAATCGTACAGCTTCCATATCTGCTACTTGATGACAAGGTCTCCATTCACCTCTGCACAATCCCATCTCGCCCATGGACGTGCATCGGGTTTACTTTTCATATATCTAATAATTTGCTTTCGTAGTGCTCAAGAAACATAACAGATTAAAAGCAAACCACTCTTTACTGGCAGACCTATGAACCTCTACAGTGTTTATGCTCTACGGTCAAAACAGATGAGTTTGATCTTAACGTCTCTTTAGCCTAACGGTAGCACACATCAATTCTACTCCGTTGGTTCTCTGATCGATCCTCGAGCTTGTCATTTTTTTTAGCTACAGCTCCTGTCGGATAATACCAGCAGCCCAATTCCGCCAAGGAGTTTTGTTTATACAACTGAAAGAACGGAACACCAACATGACAATCACGAAGACGACAACAATGCTGGTCCCGCAGCCACACAAGATCAGCATGGCCATGGTACTCAAAATTAGGATGATCAGGGGTGGGGGGGGGTTGAGACTTCAGCAACAGCCAAAGAGATGACGATGATGCTGGTCGAGGTTACAGCTACATTTTTTTCTTTCCTACTGCAGTTGCACCTTTTGCTGTCTTTTACTTCAAGTTTCTGCTGCATTTCAGATTCACATGAATGGTTCTATACTCCAAATCGTTCCGGCGTTGGCTCCTGATTTCTGGAGTAGAACAGAATCCTGGCCCGCAGATGAAGCGAAAAATTCCTGCTACGTGTTTTCATTGTAACCGTTTTGTGTCCTTGGAAGAAGATGTCTGTCATGTACACAGTCAGAAAAAGGCCAAGACCTCACCTCCGAATCAGAAGTGAAATTAGAAGATAATTTTAGCATGCATGTAAACTCCTTCTCAGAACAACACATTCTACCTGATGGCAACTGTTTGTTTTGGAATTTTCTTCCGCTACTCACTGGTGATATTTCGAGGGAACCTCATATCCGTGTGATGCATATGAGAAACTTTATCTGCAACGTGTTGTTGAGCATAGTGTTCTATAGCTGCTCTGGCTATAAACGCTTGATCGATAAGTGTTGCTTTTGTAGTCTACAGTGGTGAAGTATGTTGTTATGGATGTGCGGTCTAGGCTTAATATCTTCGACTCAGGGATGTGCTTTGTGATGGCTACC